GGGCTTTTCGGCGACTTCCTGTGTCTCCTTCTCAGGATCAAGGGCGACTTCCCGGGTCTTCGTGGTCCCGCTTTTTCGTAACTCGATGACCCACTTCTTGACCAACTCTAAGAAATCTTTCCTTTTGGCCTTATCCTGCTACCCATGGAGCGCATCCCTGATAAGAGCAATAGCCTCTTGAGCCCCTTTCTCGGGCTCAAGGGCGACTTCCTGGGTCTCCTTTTCGGGCTCAAGGGCGACTTCTTGGGTCTCCTTCTGGGGCTCTTAGGCGACTTCCTTGGTCTCCTTCTCGGGCTCCCGGGCGACTTCCTGGGTCTCCTTCTCGAGCTCAAGGGCGACTTCCTGGGTCTCCTTTTCGGGCTCAAGGGCGACTGCCTGGGTCTCCTTTTCGGGCTCAAGGGCGACTGCCTGGGTCTCCTTCTCGAGCTCAAGGGCGACTTCCTGGGTCTCCTTTTCGGGCTCAAGGGCGACTTCCTGGATCTCCTTCTCGGGCTCAAGGCGACTTCCTGGGTCTCCTTCTCGGGCTCAAGGGTGACTTCCTGGGTCTCCTTCTCGGGCTCTCGACTTCCTTGGTCTCCTTCTCGAGCTCGACTTCCTTGGTCTCCTTCTCGAGCTCAAGGTCGACTTCCTGGGTCTCCTTCTCGGGCTCAAGGGCGACTTCCTGGGTCTCCTTCTCGGCTCAAGGGCGACTTCCTTGGTCTCCTTCTCGAGCTCAAGGGCGACTTCCTGGGTCTCCTTCTCGGGCTCAAGGGCGACTTCCTGGATCTCTTTCTCGGTCTCCTCGGTGACGGCACTAATTTCGTAAGTGAAAGTTATTGAGCATTAGGTCAGACCAGAGTATAGGAGAGAATATTTATGTCTCTTGCTCTACTGTTTTGACCATATTACGTATTTAAATCCCCTTGATTGTCAAAATCTCTGTTCAGTAGTGGGATGGTCCTCTCTTTGGCGATCCCTTGCTTCTCCTTCCCCACGGACCACGTATTGCTTTCACGCTAACCGCCGACTATGCTTATAATAAACAATAGGGAACAAAAAATACATTTTATTCATCACTGATTCTTCTTGTGATTCTCATGCCCAAGTAATGTTGGTAATTATTTATACATATATAGAAAATTTTCTATATATGTATAATATAGATTTAATAGATTGATTTAAAAAAGAGCACAAACATAACCTAATTACCAACATATTACTTGGGCATGAGAATCACAAGAAGAATCAATGATGAATAAAATGCATTTGTTGTTCCTTATTGTTTATTATAAGCATAGTCGGAGTTCATAACTCTGGGCTGTCAGACCATGAAGTCAGCAGACGGATTGGCCTGGCAGCAGGGGTCATGAACTCTCTCAACAAGAGTATTTGGAGATGTCGGTACCTGTGCAGAAGGACCAAGCTACGGGTTTTCAAGGCCCTGATAATGCCAGTTTTGCTATACGGTAGCGAAACCTGGACATTGTCCTGTGCCTTGGAGGCTCGTCTTGAAGCCTTTTGCAATAGGTCCTTGCGCCAGATCATGGGGTACTGTTGGCGGGACCATGTGTCCAACCAACGGTTGCACCGTGAGACTGGCACAAGCCCTGTTATCTGCACAATCCGTGATCGCCAACTCAGGCTATACGGCCACCTGGCTCGCTTTCCTCAGGATGATCCTGCCCATCAGGTCGTCTCTATTCGAGACAACCCTGGGTGGAGGAGGCCTGTGGGACGACCGAGGAAGTCATGGCTTGGGCAGATCGACCAAACCTGCCGTGAAGAACTAGAGATGGGCCGAGTCCCTGCCTGGCGTCTAGCCATGAGGGATCCTCGTAGGCGGAAGCGAAGGGTGGATGCGGCTATGCGCCCCGGCGGCGTCAGCCCCCATGATGATGATGATGATATATGTATATGTTTGTGTGTACACACACACACACACACACACACACACACACACACACATATATATATATATATATATATATATATATATATATATATATATATATATATATATATATATATATATATATATATATATATATATATATATATATATATATATATATGTGTGTGTGTGTGTGTGTGTGTGTGTGTGTGTGTGTGTGTGTGTGTGTGTGTGTGTGTGTCTGTTTGTGTATATACATGGTATATATGCATTTAAATATTTATATATATATATATATATATATATATATATATATATATGTATAATATTATATATATTATATATATATGTATATATATATATATATATATTATATATATATATATATATATATAATATATATATATACAATAAATACAATAATGAATTTAAATATTTCATCTAGTTACGTTAGTCTCCCCTCCTAATAAAAGACCTTTCGGTTTTCTGTGACAAGAATTTGTATAGGAAAGTGACGGCGAGAGAACGTCCGCCGGACAGTTAGACACCATGGCTTCGTCACTCAGTAAAAGTGCAAACTTTATTACAAAATGCGGCCCATTTATTGGTGGAAAGAGGGCTGTCTCTCAGGTAATTAAAAGGTTATTTTCAAATATAAACGAGCTACCACATAAAGAGGTTTCAAACGATTCATATTTTCCGGAAAACGACGATATAAAAACATTAGAAATGGAGTCGTCTGCTCTTTATGCCATTTATAAAACAGTGGATGTATTTATGGCACCGTAATGATTCACTCAGAGGCTTGATTTACGGCACTTCCTGTTACATATGTTCATCAAGATATTTTCTTTCACAATTACGTCAGTGCTGTAATCCAAAATGGTTTGTCAATCTTTACGGTGCTTGCGAGCTGCGAGCTCCAATGGACACCCAACATTGTTTGTCTGTACACAAATATCAACGTAACCTCTATTGCTGTACAGTGCAACCGTAAGCCTGACGTGGATGGCATTTAAATCTCTGCAGTTCATGATATGTATAATTATTAAGAAGACCACATCGACTATGACTTTTGGTACAGGTAATTTCCAGCCAGCCACCTTTTAGACGAAAAATAATATATGCAAACGATAGAGCAAGTGTTTATAAGAAACTTATCTTCTTTGTACTTCAACCGCAACTCAAAAATAACAAAGTTATTTGACAGGCAAGTGTCTCAGAGCCCTCCATCCTCCTCCATCCAATATCCTTTCCTTCCTTTTGTAAACAAAACAATGATGCCGTTTTATTTTTGGGTACAGGTAAATTTCTAGCCAGTCTTCTTTTAGATGAAAAATGCAAACGATAGAGCGAGTGATTCTAAGAAACTTATCGTCTATGAACTCAGCAATAACAAAGTTATTGGACACATAAGTGTTTCAGAGCCCATTATGAAAAACTATCAATATGCTAGAAATCGATAACCGATATCCTTTCCTTCCCTTTGTAAGCAAACCAATGATGCCATTTCACTTTTGTACATTTATTCTAATCATTAAGTTTCGTGCGTAGATAAAACCCGCATAACGGTGCAGGAAGGAGAATTTGTTTCTGTTTCAAAATATATGACAATACACCAGTAATACTCAAATGATATTGAGTATTTACATTAACAAATAAATTTCTTACACTGCACAAATTACTGTGTCTGATCCATATTACAGGCATGAGGGGCCTGAAGAATTGCGCAGTATTTTTAAAATAATGTACGCTGGTGCGTGAGTTTCTCTCGGTACTTTTCAAGCATGTTATTGTATATCGAAAAGGTGCGATTTGTTAGTTACGATACTGAATGCACTAAATGATATCACACAGTACCAGATGTGTTAAAGGTATGTTTTGGAAATTTGATAATTAATTGAAAATGCAGACCAGATTGCAAGCTGTGTGAGCCTCTCAACTATGTATTTTTCAGATTTTAAATCAAATAGAAATATATATATATATATATATATATATATATATATATATATATATATATATATATATATATATATAAATATATATTGTTGCAAATCCTCCTTGCAACAGCGTGGCACAGGTGAGAAAAAGATGGCACTTCACTATTTTCCCTTTATTCCACTCTACATCACGGCGCCACTACGAGAGTCAAAGGCAGTGCTGATCACTTAACTCTTACAATGTCCGTTTTTCTGCTGTTGATAACTAAAACACAACACTTCGATGCAGTACGGCACTAGGAAGGTAGCATGAGGCTAGCTAGGGTGTGACACTCTTCACGTGCACTCAACAATGCAGGCTCTTCAGCACAACATCCATGCATGCGTCTCTGTCCTCTTCCATTGATTCCCCCTCCTTCGCTCCCTCTTTTCCCGCCAAAAAAACATATGCACATCGCGATGCGCAAACAGCGTTCACAGCATATATATATATATATATATATATATATATATATATATATATATATATATATATATATATATTATATATATATATACACACCACACACTTTATGTATGTATATATGTATGTATTTATGTATGTATATATGTATGTATGTATGTATGTATGTATGCATATATATAAATATATATAGGTAGATAGATAGATAGATACATAGATAGATACATATATAGATACATACATACATACATACATATATATACATATATATACATATATATGCATATATAGATACATACATACATACATATATATACACATATATATACACAGATATATACACAGATATATACACATATATACATATATATATATATATATATATATTATATATATATATATATATATATTATATATATTATAATATATATATATATATATATATAATATATATATATATATATATATATATATATTATATATATATATATTGTTACATTACAGTGTTCAACCAAAACCAGAACACTAGATATCGCCGATTGTTATGAAATAACTGAAAGCGGAGGCAGACTTCCATTTTTTTCAACCTGTGAGAAAAGGATCACTTTCCTGGGATGAGTTTTCACCTTTTCAAATCATGTGCGTTAATCAGTTTTTTTTTTTTTGTGGGATTACTAATAATTTATTAACTTTTAACATTTATCTATAATCGTAAGCACAGACTAAACCATTTGTTATTTAAAAGTAAGATCATTCAAATTAATTACATACACCAATAATACAACTATAGAAAGCTCAGGCAGTTCTCTGAGGATACTGATTGATGGCGGCTCAGTTCATAGTGCAGGGCACAATGGATGGCAGACATGCACATCACCCGATAAATTAAATTGAAATCCATTATAGCAACATCTGTTATGCAAACCGTTCAGTAAAGGATCACAGGTATGTATACGATTTGATAAACTTAGAATGTTGAAAGCCAATTTTTTTTGCCAGAAGAAGAGAGTGTAGCAATTGATATACGCGAGCTACTTTTATATGATTTCAGTCATTGTTTGTGTATTTAACGAAATTAACAAGTTCCTCGGCAAATATTTTATTGTTAATGTCTTGCCCATAAGCTGCTTTAAATGGGAAAGACCATGACAACCCTTGCCTGCCTGCTACACATTTATGTTCATAGGGTGTTTAATATAACAGTATGAATTAAAAACATTATAAATACTGTCATGAAATCATAGAAAATAAGATGGACATCTTAAAGTTTTGAAATGTTTATCACAAGTTACAACACACAGCACCTGAAATTATGATAATAAATACCATATGTTTACATCATTAAGAAATGGGAAGCATGTATAACAAGCAGTTATCTGCAAATAACCTGACTATACCCGCAACAAACCTCAACAAATGAATCATTTCAGTACTGTAAATATAGCCACTGTGTTTATAAAAGCCGCTGCAGTTTGGTACTGCAGGTGGGAGGGGAAATGCCCCTCCTATCCGGCAAGAGAGGCGGGCTGCAGGCCCTGTGAGGAGGGCGACTGCTTGAGCGCAGGATGGGAATGGGAGCTACTCGTCCCAACTGCATTCTGGCAGCCGCCAGCCAGGAATGAAGCTTGTGGGGCAAAGCTCTCTGGAACCCCACAGGTGGATGTCGGGTCCTGCAGCCTGCTGCCCCCTTTTATGTGGGGCAGTGTCAGTGGGGGTGGGAGAGGTGGCGTTCACCTGGAGTGACTGCCCAAGGGTGAACCTCAGATGGGAAGTCAGGATGGGGGCTTGGAACATCCGTTCTTTACATCAGGATGATCGGTTGCCTCTACTATCGAGGGAATTGGGGAGGCTGAGTTGGGGTGGCTACTCTCTCAGAGGTGAGAAGACCTGGCAGTGGCACGATCAGTGTAGGTGGCTACACCTATTACTGGTCGGGCCACAGCAATGGTCACTATCTTCAGGGAGTAGCTATAGCTATCTCCAGTAGTCTCCAGCCCTCAGTGGTAGAAGTTACTTCAGTTGATGAGCGTATAATAGTATTGAGACTGAAGCTGGCATTTGGCTTCATGTCTCTTATTGCTGTGTACACTCCTACCGATGTTTGTAAACTCGACATGAAAGAGACGTCCTATGCCAAACATGCATCTGTGGCAGACAGCTGTCCCTGGTGGGATATTACTATTGTCCTGGGTGACTTCAATGCGGTATCTAGCTGTGATCGAGCTGATTATGAGATTTCTATCGGTCTTCCTGGTTCACTAGCTAATACTGGCATTGAGAACAGCCTCCTTTTCCGGGACTTTGCAAGGTCCCAGAAATTGAGGATTTCTGGCTCCTGGTACTAGTGCCCAGACCCACATCCTTAGACATAGTACCGCGATGCAGGTAATGCAGCCAAGGAGATCAACCACATACTCGTTAGTGCTGGCATTTGCCTTCATGTCTCTTATTGCTGTGTACACTCCTACCGATGTTTGTAAACTCGACATGAAAGAGACGTCCTATGCCAAACATGCATCTGTGGCAGACAGCTGTCCCTGGTGGGATATTACTATTGTCCTGGGTGACTTCAATGCGGTATCTAGCTGTGATCGAGCTGATTATGAGATTTCTATCGGTCTTCCTGGTTCACTAGCTGATACTGGCATTGAGAACAGCCTCCTTTTCCGGGACTTTGCAAGGTCCCAGAAATTGAGGATTTCTGGCTCCTGGTACCAGTGCCCAGACCCACATCCTTAGACATAGTACCGCGATGCAGGTAATGCAGCCAAGGAGATCAACCACATACTCGTTAGTGCTGGCATTTGGCTTCATGTCTCTTATTGCTGTGTACACTCCTACCGATGTTTGTAAACTCAACATGAAAGAGACGTCCTATGCCAAACATGCATCTGTGGCAGACAGCTGTCCCTGGTGGGATATTACTATTGTCCTGGGTGACTTCAATGCGGTATCTAGCTGTGATCGAGCTGATTATGAGATTTCTATCGGTCTTCCTGGTTCACTAGCTGATACTGGCATTGAGAACAGCCTCCTTTTCCGGGACTTTGCAAGGTCCCAGAAATTGAGGATTTCTGGCTCCTGGTACCAGTGCCCAGACCCACATCCTTAGACATAGTACCGCGATGCAGGTAATGCAGCCAAGGAGATCAACCACATACTCGTTAGTGCTCGCTGGAGGATCCTCCAGAACTGCAGGGTGTATAGGAGTGCTGAGTTCTGTG